TTTGTGATGTTCTTGGACTTGTTTTTAAAAAATCATTTGTGGAAAACGATGCTAACTTGCACTGTGCTGCTTTTGAGACCAGCAAAATAAGCCCAATTTATATATCATTAAAACCATAGTATTGGAATTATTTCATGCACCAAAGACCTAAATTCCTCTTTATTAAACTCACTATGTTAACAACACTGTGCTGTTGTGAACAGTGGGGCTGTATGCTCTCTCAAGATTTCAGTGCAAGACTGAGCTCATCTGTATTGAATTTCCTGGCAAAATATGTATTAATGTTTTTAATAAAAGTGTGTATGATCACAAGTCTGTTTGTGATGTTCCATCTTCTCCCAGTGTGGCTCAAAAGTTTTGCCAGACCTCAAAAGCACATACTACTAATTCTGCATTGCAGTAGACTGTTTGTAGACTGTTAAGGACTGATGGAAGGGATTGCTTGAATACTAAGTACTGTAACTGAATACTGAAGACTTGATTTTAGAAGTATTACAGCAGGCCATGCAGAACCCTGATTTTAAACAAACTTAAAAAAATAAACAAGAACTTTTTAAGGCATGAAAAAAGTCCTGTTGTAGCTTCAAGGCAAGATGGCTGGTCCAATTAAACATCTACAAATTGTGAAACTAAGTGCTGGTGCAGACATTATTGCTGTCTCATGTTACTTCAAAATCATCAAGTAGTCCATTTATGTGAGTAGCACAAGTGATGGATGAGGACTCAGGAAATACTGCAAGTGCTCAGAAGGTAGCATCTGTCTGATCTTGGGTGATTTCAAAAAGCTAATTTGGATGTAGGATCTGGGGCTGTAGGCAAGACTGGGGAATTAAGAATATCCCAAAAAATGGCAGTGGCCAACCAATTCCATATTGCTGCCAAGAAAACTACATGGACATGCCTATCAAGTCACCAATAGTTGAGTTCGACTTGGAGATTTTATCTTTTCTTACCTAATTAAAATGCATCCTTTAAATTGTTGCTCATAAAAGTTGCTGACTCTTATGCAACAGAATGAACAATAATTTCTCATGTAATCTTAATTATTACCATGTTTACATGCTTAGACCATTGTTATTTTTGTTCGTAACCTCTTATAGCTTCTGAAAGTTTAAGGTAAGATCCTTGACAATAAATTGATTGATTGATTGTTTGTTTATTTATTTATTTATTTATTTATTTGAATATTTAATGTAAACTGGTAGAAGCTAGCAGTACCTTAGTCTCCTTGGATTCCAAAGGACTAGAATCTTACACTGAAATTACATTTTTCATTTGGTGATCTTACTTTTTGCTATCCACAATATGACGGTGGATTGTACATTCCTGTTTTAAGACAAGAGACTTATATGGTTTTCATAACACTGAGGGTGTGTACTTTTCAGCCTTTTAGAAGCAATAATCTGATTACTACAGGGTATAATCTAGTGAAAAGTTCTTGGCACTCACTTCAGCAATGAAAACATTGTAGAGAAAGTTGGTTCTGATGATATACCAGCGATTAACTTGCTTTTAATTATTCCTGTGAGTTGCTCACTTGTATAAGCAGTGTAACGTCAAGGCCGCAAATGCATGTGAGATCACAGGTTCTTTTTATAAAACAGAACTGAGCAGATTAGTGAGCCAAAGCACTAGTCAGTACCTAATAGCTTATCTAACAGAAGTAAACTTGCCCAAATATACCTTGAAATTGTATGAATTGAACAGTGCTTTGAGGACTGCAGTCTTGCCAGCCCCGGGCTGTCCTTCTGATTCCACTACATAAGCCTGTTTTTGTAACTGTTTCAGCTTTCCTTTCCTCAGCTCCACTCTTAACATTTTGGCCAAGTCTGTATGCAATCAGATCCTGAAATCCAAGTGTCTCTGTGCAACACCTGTTTGGTCATTTTCAGGGCCTCTGGAACACTAAGACTAGAGTGGTGTCAATGCCTAGAAAAGCATCTAAAAATAAAGGGGCCAACAGTCTAATAGATTTATTTTGGCTTGAATCTAAATATTCTTTAGCCTGTGGAAACTATGAGTCTTCTGTAGTTCTGTTTAAAGTCATTTAGAAGATTCCATTCATATTTGGTGACTATATTCTTTTATACTTAACTTGCTTCTGATTGGTAATAATAAAGGCTAAAGTCTATACTGAAATGAAAAAAGTAAAAATTACAAAACTGGAAACATACCCTTGGTAGTTTAAAACTTGGGCTTGTTTGTTTATTCAGTCGACATGGTCACCCACTCACCAAGCAACTGTGAGCATCTAACAATGTCAAAAACAAAAAAATAATCAGTAATAAAAAACCAACAAACTAGTAGAAACAAACATAACACCTATAGCATTGGGCAAATAATTCACAAAACATATATTGATACATTTCTGGCAGCTCATATAATATCCTGGCTCAGGGCCTGAGGGAATAGCCAGGTCTTCAGGTACTGAAAATAGGTGTTGCACCATAAAAAAGGTTTTAGTTTTGATTCCTTATCTAGTAAACTATTGTTTTCATGTTTTTATGGAACTATTAACCTTTTTTTTTTTTAAGATACTGTATTACTTTTAATTTATGGAGATTTCTTTTTTTGCAAATACTCCTTTTTCACATAGTTCTTTCTTTATTTTGATCTACAACTTTTTTTTATACTCCAGAAAATGTATGCCAAATAAATAATGGCATGCCAGTACATTGTTGTCATTATCGTCATGGTATTGGAATCTGAACTTTCATGACACATGTTATATTTAGGAAAATGAACATAACTTAAATACATTACTGGCATATATTTAATAGATCTTTCATTTATCATTTCTAATGTTGGTTATCTCAGGTTGATAGATGGTAAATAAATAGAATATGTAAAAGAGCAAGCAGTATGGAAAGCTGTCTTGTTAATGGTTTATCTCAGTGCTAGGTCAGTTGCACTGTAAATTATCTATTATATGCAACAGTAATTTAAAGATGGCAGGAGTTATTGGCTGGATTTATACATTGCACTAAGCCATTCTGTGGTTACTGGTTAATTCACTATTAAAAAGAACACTGGAACACTAGGAATCAAAATCTTTTTGTATGATATTGTGGAAAATGAGTTGATCAACCTTCACTACTGAAGTAACTCTGAAAACTTTCAGATGGAAAATTACTGAAATTAAATGCATACAAATTGGGGAACATGTATTAGAAGGCTTAATGGAATTTACATGCAATTGAAATGAATATATGGCCTATAAACATTTGTAACAAACACATATAAATTATTTAATAATTATGTTAGTAATCGGAGTGCTTGGGATTGTATTCTTCAACTGATAATGTGTTTTAGTTTAGATTGCTCTCCAGTATTATCCTGTTGCACTAGTTTCCACTGCCAAATATTTGCTGATTTAATAACTAATCTTTCCTGAAGTCTGTGGATTTGGTTCTGTAAAATATTAACATTACTGCAAAATACAAGATTTTGACATTTCAAGGATAAAAAATGTTAAAAGAAGCCTAATTTTTTAAAAAAACACCAGTTAACAATTACATATTTCGAGATTAGCAATAAGTTTTGTAAACTTCTGACTTAAAAAATAGCATTCAGTTGGACAGTATTCAACAACCTAACTTCATCTTTATAGTAGCTTCTCTATGGATTTGATAGATTATTTTGGCTTGTTTTATAATATCCAAAGTTAAGAATTGTGTATTAATAAAGAATATTAAATCTTAATTTTCCTAATGCCCATTAGAAAAGTTTGACTTTTTTTTTTAAGTAATGAAGGAATAAGTTATCAGACAGATTTTTTCAGGCTTTGTATTCAAACAATACATATTCTTAAGACTTCAACTGGAATCTGAATCCTTCTAGTGTCTTTTTGATTTATGAATTAAAATATCAGGTTTCAAAGCCTTGTACTAAATACAGAGAAATTCATGTACTATATGTTAATTTCATTATTAAGAAATCATATTAAAGTACTTTTTTATTCAGCTGCATTTAAATAGAACAGTGCATGTGTATTGTTTTTATCCAGTGTTATCTTTTAATCTGAAAACATTAATTTCATGAGAACCTTGTTGAAAATGATGGGTAGTTGTGAATTACTTTCTCCTTCATGTTATTGTGTGAGTTTTAAGAACCATGGTAACATGTATTAAGAATCAAGGTAAGTAATATTTGGGGAGCCCTTGAAGGATAGTGTCTCACAATCCCCATTAAACCTGTTCGTGCATGTCCCCGTTTGTAAAGCTGCTCACAGCATCAGGTAACTTCCTGTGTTTCTAGTGGCAGAATTTTGGCAAACTGTCAAGGCCCTTCCCATCACTTAAACTGGCCCTTCCCATCCCTTAAACCAGCAAAGCAAATCCTTTTTTAACTTCATAAGAACTGAAATACCTCCTCCCCCATCTGTTTCTTTTTCCCCTCCCCCAACTCTTGCTTTCTGGTAAGGTGTATATCCAATTACCCTTGTCTTTGACTTGTTCCTCCCTCTTTTTAGGCCTCGGGTTCTTTTCCCTGCAGGTGCCTTGATTCATTTTCCCTCCAGCTCCACCACTTGAGCTGTTTCTCAAATGATTTATTTTTCACTATGCCCCGATAGGGAGTGTGTATGTATAAAAAAGGCATCCAGATGATATGAAAGTGGAGTAAGTGAATAAAAGTAAAGTAATAAGACTATAAGAAGAGTTCTCCTGGCTCTGATCAAAGACTTACCTAGTTCATCATTCTGTTCTCACATCTGCCAACCAGATGTCTCTTGGAAAGTTCAGAAGTAGGAGATGAACACATCAGTACTTTTTCACTTAATTTCCCCAACAGCTGGTATTCAGAGGTATACATATGTGACTGATATTGGAGGTAGCATATAAAATGCCATGACTAGTAATCACTGATAACTGGTAAGAGACTGGTCATACCTTTGATATCACATAGCTTTGCACCAAACAATTACTGTCTTCTTCCAATGTTGCAAATGAATGTTGAACCCTGAATGTGAGTTATGAATACAGTCATTTCTTAATTGGCAGGAATTGGCTCTCCGTAGTCAGCTTCCCAGTATGGAACAAGACGGCTCCCAGAATCGAGTATCCTCTCCTGGAATGTCTCAAGAACTGAGAACAATGACCACAACTAGCTCAGATCCTTTTCTTAACAGGTTAGTGGCAGTAGCTACAGCAGTAGTTTCATTTCACCAAAACTAATGATTTTCAAATTCTGTTTGGTTTATGTAATCATCCATTTGGAACATTGGTCTGTTCCAAGAACCACAGCTGTAAATGGATATTTCCTTAAAGGGCAAGTCCAGTTTACTCCCCCCCCCCTCCAAAAAAAGCTGAAGATTAAGAGCTGTCTCCTGTGGAAGTCAGCTGTTCAGACTTGTAGGAAAGGTTTGTCTTCAAAGTCATAACATGTTCGCCCAGGCACAAGTCATTTGATGCACAGTCATTTAAAATTACTGACTCGGAAAACTTTTTCAAAAGCTAGCAGTGAATATGCTGTGGGGTTCTCTTAAAGGAGTTTGCAACATTCCTGGTTCTATTTTTATCCTTTATAGCACTGACACAGGAAACAGTGATAAGATTTAGCATATCATATTACAAGGCAAGTAGGCTAATTTTTTCTGGCATTAATTTATGCAGCCTCTGGTTTCTAGTTAACAATATTGCATGTTTAATGTTTAGCCCTCATTATTGCACAGATAAGGTTAAAAATGGGATATCAGTACACACAAGCAACCAAAAAGAATGCTGACAGGTGTGCATAGCTGTTGGTTATTTGGATATTGTTTCAACTGAGGGCTTGATTCATATTTTTCAAATATAAGTCATAAGCACAGAAGAAAATTATTGGTTTCTAATGGAATGTGTCATATAAATATTTTCAAAATTTTCTCAGTGGCAGTCATACAAAATCTTAACTTCTAGGACTGTGACCACCGTAAGTAAATTCTGACAACACCAGGAGCCCCTGTGTATGCTGTATATCTGTGTATGCCATAATTAAAATGTTAGTCACTGTTGAACAAGTGCGTTTTTAGCACTGTTAGATTTTGCACTGGGACAATCAGTAGCATTACAGTGTGTAGATTAAACTGTGATTTTGTTTATTTATTTATGCAAATTCTACACTGCTTCAATCAACCAATTGACTCTAAGCAGGTTACAGACAGCAAATACAAATTAGAAACATATTTGGGTTGGGACTCTCAAGAATTCATGAGCAGCTTAGAAGGCATTGACAACTTTGTTTAAAAGGTTGCCCTAGTGGAGCTCTATTATTACTACCCCCTGTGAAATTATTAATTTTATTTATTGAGTTTCACACGCATAAATTTACCATTTTAGGAGATTGCGGTATCACAAAGTTTGAGAACTAAGTGGACAAGCTTTATGGGGCCAGGAATGGATGCCACATGCTGTAGCTGCATTGTGGGAATTGAGACACTGCAGAATTGAGCATTCAGAGAATTCTCCTTCTCGGGCATTTTTTTTAAAAAATGTGTAATTTTACGAGGAGAATATAATTCAACTCTGACTGGTGAAAATGAATCCTTTTGATGATTAATGCTGGCTGCTCTTTCCAATAGTAACCTAAAACAACATTACGTTTCCTTGCAGTGGAACATACCACTCCAGAGATGAGAGCACAGACAGTGGGCTCAGCATGAGCAGTTACAGTGTTCCCAGAACTCCAGATGACTTCCTCAATAGTGTTGATGAAATGGATACAGGTGTGATTCAGTTCCCTCCAGTTGCTGTCCGATTGATGATGCTTGTACCTTGTTACTAGCAGTAAAGTGGGTGGGTTAGTTACAGTAGAATAGATGACACTTGAAGGTTATTGGTGAGACAGTGGAACTAATTCTCAGGAGACAGGAGGGCAGACTTGACATCAGTTTCCTCAGTGAACAGGGAATTAAACTATATGTCTTACAGAGTTCTTCCTGTATCTATGTTTCTATGAAATATCATTTGTAAAGAGGAAAAAAAATATTTTGCTTTGGATTTGTAGTAATTTTAACAACAATATTATGTCTTCTTCAATTGTATACTCAAATTCTTTCCCGAATCTGGGAAATTCATGATGGTGTCTTTAGTTTAAAATGGCCTGGATATTTTTGACCTGCAAATCTGAACTATTTCCTAATTTACTGCCTTTGCTGCAGTTCTCCAGCCCCTCCCAGTGGCTTTTGGTTCTTAAGGTTCCATATTTCCCTTCACATTGACAACAAAAAACATCGTTGAAAGTTATTCTGACTGAAATTGTGCAGCTTATAATCATTTTATCTAATTTTATTTTATTTATTTATTTTTATTTATTTCATCTTAATCTGGAAAAGACTTCCAGAGTTTCTTACAAAGATCAGTCATAAGATGATCCCTCTCTCTGTTCTGCATCCTAAATGACATCATGCTAAAAGAGAAGGATAGAAAAAAGCAAGTAGAGGTGCTGAAGTTTAGTTTTAAGTTAATAACTCTCCTTTCAGGGCAGATGGACTTGTTTATTGTGAGTGCAGGCAGTTTCAGAAAAGAAGCCTCGTGCTTTGATTTTCTCTTCCTTGAGCAACAGTTGTTGCAGTTATCTTAGAATGGATGGGGGGGGGCAGCTGTAAATACAAGTGGAGAGGATGAAGTGGCAGTTGTTCTTACTATCAGTTGATGCCTCCCTTTCTTCAAAGGAGTTGGCTCCAATGGGCACTCTCCATGGTTATATATCCTGAGCACAAGATGTATAGCTGATGCTCCATGGGGTTGGGGGCATGGCTTCAAATGACGGGTATTTAGAGTCAAATAAATATTTTGCACCAGTTAAATATATGTGTTTAATGCCCTGCTTTGCCTTCATTTTGTATCTAGGTGACACTATCAACCAAAGCACCATCCCCTCCCATCAGAACCGTTTTCCAGACTACCTTGAAGCCATTCCAGGGACTAATGTGGACCTTGGAACGCTGGAAGGTGATGCAATGAATATAGAAGGAGAGGAACTGATGCCAAGCCTACAAGAAGCTTTGAGCTCTGATATCCTTAATGACATGGAGTCTGTGTTGGCAGCCACCAAGCTAGATAAAGAAAGCTTTCTTACCTGGTTATAGGGGCCTCAGGGAGATGGAATTTGAAATCTTTGAAGGATCTAAGGAGATAAGACGTGTACCTGTTGTTGAGAACAAGCCTGTATTGCAAAGGCGTCTTGGCTTATGATCAGAAAGGAAAACATGTAAATGAACAAAATACTTCAGATTTTGTTGATCCAATGTTTTGTTCTTTTTTGTCCAATCGCTGCTGTTATACCGCTGACCTCTTTCACAGTTGATTCTGAAGAATTCACTTTTTTTTCCTGTTGCAACTACTGTTCAGCATGGTGGTAATGGAGAGGGAAAGGATGGGAAAGAGAGAGAGAGAGAGAGAGAGAGACCAGCTATGTTTCCGGATAATATCTACCATTCCTTTTGCCCTGCTTTCTGTTTGCATGTCCTTTCCTTTGACTATGGATGTTGTGGAGCTTAAGCTTTCGCGGCAAAAAAAAAAAAGACTTGACAGGTCCAGCAAGCCAAAAATGATGTATCTGATGGGGGGGAAAGTCAGTACTGATTTGGAGATAAGGTGTAAAATGTTTTATTGTTGGGCACAAACCATCAGACATTTTAGGGTTGAATACAGTTCTTCATGCTGCTTGATCTATATTGAACTGAATAAAAGATATATGCCAAGGATGGCTGTTGGATTGTGTCCACTGGCAGCTTCTTCTTAATTCCCTCAGTTAGTTTGCTCACACTTTACAGCATCGTAAGCAAATCCTTTTATACAAAAAACATGGATCTTGATTGTTGCCTCTTAACTTTAGCTTGTTTTCCAAATTTTAGATCTATTTTTAATTATAGCAGTAGATTAGAAAAGGAACTTTTTTGGTTCTGTTGTGTGTATTGGTTGTTTTTGTTTTAATATTTTTAAATAGTGAAATCTAAATTTCCTGACTTCACCTAGTCTTATTTAAGTCTGAATGGTTTTTTTTTTTATACTAAACTAGTATAGCCAGTTAATATCAGTAGTTCTATGTTTTGCTTACAGCTTTTAAAAAGATAGCTTTGAATGTATTCATTAGATTAAAGAACCATTGGCTTAAGTTTCACCCCTCTACCCAGAATTCAAAGAAACTTCCTCTTACAGAATCCTTTGCCTAAATGTACTTATTTGAACGTTAGTCTCACTTATTTTGGAAGGAGTTTTTGAAGTATTTTTAACATTGCCATTTAAGAATGGCCAGCTGTATGGCTTTTACCCTGAGTTTTGAACACAGCAAACATTACACTGAGTTTTCATCAAAGAACAGCTCTTACCATTGTTTGGAGAGCTTTTTAATTTTGATGAAGTTGGTGGCTTGAGAATCAAGTGTCCCTAATGGATAGAAAATGATGCTTTCCTGTACATAGTTTCATTATACTGTCTGCACTGTCATGTGAGTTTACAATATTAGCAGTGGGAACACTAAAGTTAAACTGTATCAGAAGCATACTGAGAAATAAGTCCATCGTGCATTTAGAAGACTGTAAAGATATGTGGTAGATGGCAACATGAGCATGTAGTTGACTATGTATTTTAGCTGTAGTGATTAGCACTGAAGTCAAGGAGTGAGTACATATCTATAACTTTACTTTTAGTAGGAAAGGATTATCCTCAAAGTTGTCTGTAGGAATTGTGATACTTTCCAAAGAGTATTTTAAATGAACAAAATGCCCATGTTGCAATATAAGCTATGAAGCCTTTTTTCTTTATATGCATTGGCACCAATAAGTGCCTTAAAGGTCTGTCAACATTCCCATTAATTTGTTGTCTTTATTTGCAAGAGTTTATAATATAACCATCAAGGAAAGTTTAAACCTGAAATTTAGTATATAATTTTCAGACTAGGATATACTAAAAGGTTGGATGGAATCCAGTTCTTTGCTCAAGTTGGTGAAGGTTATTTCCACTTGATGTATTGTGAAGCAGGAAGTATGCCCCCTCTCTCATGCCCTCAAAATCTGCTCTAAAGAGATTGCTTTTCTGGAAGAGATTTTGTGGGCATATGGAGAGAAGTCTAGAAGTGTAATGCTGGCTTTCACCAATTACTTGTCCCTTTCTAGTTGACGTGAGGATGACGTTAACAGTTGCAGCCTTGAGTTTTGTGTATGCCGATAAGCCACAGCTTAATGAATTATTTTTCTTCTGCAATGCCATATTAGCCTCCTAGTCAGTTAACATGTGAATGGATCATATGAACAGATTCTCAGTCCCATTAAGAGGATTCTTGTTTTTTTAATTCCCCACAATTTCTGAGAAATACTTGAAAGCCAACTGAAATTAAATATAAATTGATTGAAATAGTGTTTCAAACAGGAGAAAAGGTGAGAAATTTGGAGTTCTTGCATTTGGGTTTGCTTGTTTTTTCCATATACAGGAGGACCATGTGCACATGTTTGAATATCAAATAGGAACTCCTGAATTCCTGTATCCAGAAATAGTTTTTTGTTTGCTTTACTTGGTTACAGCTTTAAAATTGGAACATTTTTTCCCAATTTTTCCTTGTTGTACACTACACTACATAGCTCAAACTATATTTGAGTAGCACTGTTAGAGGAGTACTTACATAAAACTCAGAATTCTTGGATTTTTCTTAACGGTAAGCTGTCTGCACAGTACTTAACTCTAGTTACTTTTTAAGCCTCTTTATTAGATGGGAAATGTGCCTTAGTGATCATATGTACTGTTGGCAGAAGAAAAACAAAATAAACTAGATGCTATTACAAGTTTTTATTGAAATCTATCATTTGACAAAGTGGCTTACCTTTTTTTGGGGTATTGAAATGCAAAAGAAAAGTATTATAGGTAGTATTTTGTATTGATTGGTGTATATATTTAAACAGATTACTGTCCTAACTTTATGGCTTCTAGATATTTTTTTTAAGTACAGTGTGTTCAGAATGCAATGAAAGCTTATGAATTCTTGTGTATGTTTGGCAACATGCTTTGAAAAATATACTGTTTCGATAAATCATGTGGATTCAAAGTTGTACCAATCAGTGTTGGAGCTCAAGCAATGCAAGGTTGAGAGCAATTAATGGTACCCTATCTTTTGCACATATGGAAAATCCCTATTAAAATGACTTCATTTGCAATCATGGGGGGAGCGACTTTTTATACAAGAGGCGGGTTTGTACGTCTGTCTAAAGTGACACTTTCTTCTTTAGGGTGAAAAACCTCTATATTTTAAAATGTTTTCTATTAGAGAACTCTGAAACACAATTTTCAAATATATATAGCTATAAATGTTATATTTTCTTTAGGTGTAAGAGCATGCCTCTGTTAGATATCCTAGTAAATTCTGTTACATTTTCTTTTATGTAATACATTTTTTTCACTGCTTTTTTGTTTTACATGATATAAATATATACTTTGCGCTTACATTGTGTTTGTTTTATTTTTTAATATTAAACACATCCTAATGCTAATACAACACTAATATGGGGGCAGCCACTTTTTATACAAGAGACGGGTTTTTACATCTGTATAAAGTGACACTTTTTTCTTTAGGGTGGGTGCTTTGCCCATTCAAAACAACAGTGTTTTGTGAAGTGTGTTAGCATGAGCAAAATATTTCTCGCTGAGGCATTAAAGCAGCCACATCTTTTGGAATGCTTATGTGGCTGCTTCAAAGGGTGTCCTCATTTCTACCCATTTGTGTACATCCACAGACAACCCTTCTGTTGGGAACTTGTATGTGACTGGGGAAAGCTTTTGAAGCAGCTGTGTGAGTCTTCCAGAGAACATAGCTGCTTTAATTGCTTCAAGAAGTATGACAGAAGGAGGGAAGAAGAAAAGTAAAGTAGTCCATTACGACATTTGAAACAATGTTCTCACATTTGTGATACGATAAGGTGTCCCTTTGACTCAAAGTACATGGCAGATTACTATGAAGTTGGCAAGACCTTTCTACTTGAGGAATGGCTCTTTTAGACTTTTATCCAAAAACATGAATCTTGATTGTTATAGAGTCCTTTAGAACAGTGTTTCTCAACCTCAGCAACTTTAAGATATGTGGACTTCAACTCCAGAATTCTCCAACCAGCATGCTAGCTGTGGAATTCTGGGACTTGAAGTCCACACATCTTAAAGTTGCCTGAGGTTGAGAAACACTGCTGTAGACTCATACTTCTAATTTTATTAATTTTATCTTTTGGGGTTTGATTTTTGTTTGTTTTTGATATGTTGAT